TGATGATGATGATGATGATGATGATGATGATGATGATGATGATGATGATGATGATGATGATGATGATGATGAATTAAGAGAATATCAAAATACGGTGAGTTTTCTCACCTGGCTCGTAATAGTCGAATGTCTTGATGTAGTTCCTCTGGATCTTGGCCACGCGACCCTCTCTAGTCATCTGCAGGTTGTAGCACAGAGAGGCTTTTGTGATCTGTTAAAAGATACGAAGTTTGATTAAGATTTTTTGGCCACATAAATAGACAATGATGACAATGACAAGGACAATCTTTATTTATCTCACAGGCATACGACCGTGCAGTGGATGGACCTTGATTGATCACAATCCAAGTGTTGACCATTCTTGTCTCGTTTTTGTTGTTGAAAAAATGGCATAAATGATAAATCCCAAATATCAAATTAGTAGTCTTGCAAACAGAAGGGTTAAAAAAAGGAAGTGCAATTATACTGAAGATTCGTCTTTGTCTATCTGCCTTTTAATCAGATTTAGCGTCCTGTCTTTTCTCCAGTTTTATTGTGGGTGAAAGTAAAAGATTGCACTTACTCTGAATAGTGGTGCTTTATAGACAAATCGAGAGTTCATAATTTAGGGAATGTTTGACCTTTCATTCGTGACCTTTGGAGGAAGTGCCCGGCCCCCGAGTGAGAAAAAGCAGCTATTATATCCACTGTTATCTTACAAAGTGAGCTTGTAAGAAATATACGATTGCAAAATTCCAAAACTATAAAATAGGAAAAGAAGATGACTTGGAATTGTTAGGGTAAAATTGTTGTTTTAATACGTTGAAAAAGACATGAAACCCTGGTCTTAAACCGAATATTGTCTTCATCAAGATTAGGCTCAACATAAACCCCAAAACAATTGAGGATTTTTCAAAAATCCTGATTCATTATTGTTTGTCAAATTCCTAAATAAGTTTTAGCTCCGAAAATAGAATTGATTCCTAGAATGTGCGGCAATTTTTGGTCCGCATTAAATTATAGTGTTATGTCCGTAAATTCTAATGTCTGACTAATCGCATCAGCAGCGGAAAATCTTTCTTAAAGATAAACAGAAGTAATTAACAGGACAAGATGGTTTATAGCCTCTACTGTGATCAAGAGACCAATTCTTGCAGAGAAGAGATTGTCACATTTTGCGTATTCATAAGCTACATTATTTCAACTTGTTGACGTGTGTAGCTTGTCTCTCTTGAACAGCATTTCTTAACCCTATCCGTCCATCCTGGGGTCATTTTGTACCTCCCCCCCCCCGGGTTGTATTCTTCACATGTTAGAATACTTCTAGTACAAAGATCTCTTTGATACTTTCAGTATTTCTCAAAAAATCATTTTGACAGACTGCTAAGCGCAGTGTACGGATCGGATTAGCGAGTAAACTTCCTCTTTGGAAAGTGGTGGCACGGTTCTCCCCACATCGTATAGATACGATAGTAAAACATGACGTTCGTACAGGGTTAGTCGTGAAGCCTCATAATATAATTTGCTGCCCTCTGTGATAGCTGCTCTCTAACATGGTCCACCAGGAAATAGACCCTCCCACGTCAAGGCATTGATGATGTTAAAGACTTTCAAAGACATTTCATGGTGTCTTTGTAGCGCGTTTCGGATGTACCTATTTTACTACGTTTCCCTGGAGACAGCGCAGGATAGGGCACTGGCTTTGGGGTTCTGATCATCAAATTATAAATTATAGTGTTTATTAAAAAGCGTTCAGGGATGTTTCTCCGATAGACGCACAGTATTATAGAGTGTTAGAAAGTGCTGATTTTTTACAGTGCACTTGTTTCTCTTTGCATTATTATTCAGAATTTGAGTTTTACCAAGATATCACAGAAATGGAGTTTCTGTGTCCAAACAAAAAACTCTCTTGGATGACTGACCTGAGACCTTGTGCTAAATCTAAAACGGACGTGGCAATCAATGCTTTCCATTCATCTATAATTTGAGGGGATATCCACAAATAAATTGTGCTTACATACTACTATTACGCAGGTCTTTCCCTGTCTCCCATATTTAAAAAAACCCCAGTAAAATGAAGTGTCTTCCGTTCGGAAGAATGAGCGATGACTCATTAACAGAAATATGAACACGTCTCGATGACAACATGTTCGGTCACACTAAGCCTAATAAACGATTGCATACACAGGCGGTGACGCCCACAGGAAAATGATATCTTTTAACAAGTCAGTCTGACAATTCCTTATTGTGGTACTTTAGCAGCCACACCCCCCCCCTCCCGTCCTCACAACAGCTGTCCTTCGATTTGATTTTAAAGTTCGAAAGTTCTTAACGCTTTATGTTAAAGAAAACCACCACCACCAACAACAACAACAAAAAACAACAACAACAACACAACAACAATAACAACAACAACAACAACAACAACAACAGTACCAATAACAAACTGCTTCCTGTGATTTAATAATAATTGTGTATATGGGATGGAATGGAGGGTGTCGGGATCTGTGAAGTAGCGGTTAAGCGCTTAATACGAGGTGCCCACTACGGCTGAGATCGGCCGATCGGGCCGATCGCCCGACTCGATCGCCTCAAAAACAACGTGTTTGTTTTCAGTTTCAGGCGATCGAGTCGGGCAATCGGCCTGATCCTGCCGTAGTGGGCACCCCGTATGAGACCCGAGTTCGATTTCTGAGTGGGGAAGGTTTTTATCGAGAGCTTCGGTCCCCTGCTTGGATGTTGTATCCCTCTCAGACGAGGTTGACCGTCACATTGCAGGATCGGAAGCCCGCCTCTGAAATACATTATCTAAACAGTGTCGACAGGGGCGTAAAAGAATGGACGGTGTGTAGAGCATTAAGTATTAAAAAAAAATTCTTGTTACTTTGGCTCGTCTGAACATTGTCAAAATCATTCGGTGCGTTAATCAAAGACTAGGGATTCTTTTATAAAAATGTGAGGCATCGGGGTGAAATCATGTGCTTATTAAAATAATGAAATCGAAGAAAACAGTTCGGTAATTATTTTCGAATTTTTGGGTTTTTTTGGGCTCACATATCTTTTATAGTTTTGTGAGTATTTTACTGAAAATCGTTGATTAAAGAACAAAAAAAAGTAAATTTTTATATTTCCCGAGGACTCTCAAGCAATGGAAGTTACCATACTTTGACGCCATTTTTTTGATAATTTTACCTCTGAAACTAGGTGACACTTTCTTATTCAATCATATATCTCAAATTCTTTTTAAGATAGTTGAGAACTTTTTCCGCCAAATGGAAGAAAAATAAACAAGCTTTAAGATTTTATAAATTACTCGGAATGCCCAAAAATTAACGAGTGCCTGATTCCACTATGCTGAATCACAAATATTATCTGTCTATTTGCTGATGTTTCTACCCCAGGCAGTTACGCTGCATGTTAGGATGCTGACAACTTATACACGCAAACTGATAAAATGAATAATATAGGATATTTCGTTCTCGTGAAGTTTTTATCGTCGATTGCTATAGTTTTAATCAAGTATTTGAGCTTGCCATTCTACATAATATTACACTTCCTCATCAATTGTTACTCCAAGGTAATTATGTATTCACTATTGGTCGCTTTTAAGCACAAGGGGGCTATCCCGAAATATGCTGTTTTTGAGAAAATTGAAAGTCGAGTTTTTGCCCTTCGTTCAGTTTATTTAAAAGACAATGAGAGTTTTCTCTTTAACCAAGCAAATATACACACCAATGAAACCAAACTTCTCCTACAGGTAGGTTAATGCCCACTTTTAGTTTAGGTCAAGATTTCTGGAAACCCCCGAAATCTGGGTTAGCCTAGTTGTCCTTAAAAGCGACCAATTTACTTGATCAAAAGCTTTCCCTTGAGTCCTTGAGTGTGAACTTTTATTTGGAACTCTATAATAAGTTGTTTGGGTATTTATTTTGTTCGACGTTATCCTCTATTTATATGATATACTGTTTTTAAAAAAATCCTGAAATGAAATGCCTGTGATCATCCCTGTAGTAATTATAATTGGCGTGGGATGTTTGGGGGGGGGGGGGGGGGGGGGGAAGTGACGTATTTTGCACACAAAGAGTCGGATCAAAAGTCAATATCGTTCAGGTTTTTGAGTGCATTTCATATTAATTCTACACCCGACAGGACATTTGTTATGTTTTTCCGTTTCTTTGTTTGTTTGTTTGTTGGGTTCTTTTTGTATCGAGTCGAGGGTACCCGTCATACATAGTGAGTCATCTAATGGTGTAGTAGTTACTAGTTTTGAGTTAACTGAATACACTGCACTTTTGTTTAACCCTCCCATACACCCTGGTAATCCGATCCGTACGCTTTGCATAGCAGTTTGTCAAAATGATTTTTTGAGAAATACCGAAAGTTTCAAAGAGATCTTCGTACTAGATCTAGAAATATTCTAAAATGTGAAGAATACAACCACGAGGGTACAAAATAACCTCGGGGGGTACGGATAGGGTTAACGATAAATAGAAGTAATTAACAGGAATAAGATGATTTATAACCTCTGCTATAATCAAGAGACCAGTTCTTGCAGAGAAGAGTTTGTCACATTTTGCGCATTCAAAAGCTACATTTTAACTTGTTGACTTGTGTAGCTTGTTTCAAAGATATCTTCGTACTAGAAGTATTCTAAAATGTGAAGAATACAACCCCGGGGGTACAAAATGACCCCAGGGCGTACGGATAGGATTAATCCATACCAAAAGGGGGTCCGTGGGGTACTGGTTAGTTGTTACACGCTTAAATTTTGCATGCAGAAGACCCATGTTCGATCGCCATGTGGGGAGAATTGTTGGTTTTTTTAAAAATCGAGTATCGCGGTATTTCTGTTGTAAGGTTGTATCCCTCTCAGCCCAGGTTGGCCGTGACATACAGACAGTGTTGCAGCTCGCCTCTTAAAATGATCTATATTGTGGTAATGGGGGCATTAAAAAAGACCACCAACATATAAAAAATTAACAACTGAAAAGCATACTATGTCAGACAGAGGTAGCCACACCCATATTGGATATAATGATATCTAGCTTATCACAAGATCGGCTGCACAGCGAATTAAAAAAAAGGCATGCAAGCAAACAAACAAACAAAATAGCATAGTCTGGGAGATCACATTTGACAATGCGTATTTTGCAATGAGTTATATGTGAGGCAGCGTGGCGGAATCAGGCGCTGGTTAATTTTTGGGCATTCGGGGTAATTAATATAATTATTAAAGCTTGTTTATTTTTCTTCCATTCCGGGAAAAAAGTTCTCAACAATCTTGAATAGAAGTTGAGATATATGAGATTGAAGAAGAATGTGTCACCTAGTTTCAGAGGTAAAATTATCGAGAAAATGGCGCCAAAGTTTGGTAACTTCCATAGCTTGAGAGTCCTTGGGAAATGAAAATTTACATTTTTTTGTTCTTTAATCAACGTTTTTCAGTAAAATACAAACAAAACTGTGTTTATAAATAAACATAAAAAAATATGTGAGCCAAAACCCCCACCCAAAAAATTCGAAAATTATTTCCAAACTGGCGGAAAGATGCTGTTTTCTTCGATTTCATTATTTTGACGAGCGCCCGATTCCACCACGATGCCTCACATATTTCTGTCATTTGGGGTTTAAAAAACTTGGGGTGCGGTCTTCAATGATTGAACTGCGATAAATATTCAGTTTTAATTCTAGATCTATCCTGAAACCAAATATCTAACTGTATGTTGTGATTAACATTGAATGTCTGAACAGACAATGAGTAATGTATAATTATAGATCTATATCGTCATGCATTTTAATTATTTTTGCCAATAACACGGAAAACAAAACTCGCTAGTGCCTCAATATATGGATTGGTGTCTGACTTAACAAATACTAGCCACTGTCACAAAACACATATGGGTGGCTGGCAGGAGCTGTGGTATTATTTTCTCGTTGTCTTTTTTATCGAACATAATAATGTATCTTTATGATCCCTCCTCTTTTTTTTCTTAGTTTGTCACTATTTAATGCCACTTCAAATCTTTTTCCCTGCATGACCAAAGCGCCGAAAAATTGTAACTAGCCTAAACTGAAACGAAATGAAGGTAGTGTCTACGTTCTTTAACGTATGAGAACGTACACAAGCTATCTACGTTCTCTGATGTAGTAGAGAACCTAAAAATAGCTCCCTTGCTTTTTCTAACGCTGAAGATCCTATCTTGATCACGGTGTGTACGTACTTTATAATAATAATTATTACATGTATTATGGAAACGAGTCGACAATGCTGCTTCCACAGTGCTTACGCTTTACTTTCGCAAGCTATTTACTTTCGTGAAAGAGTTCTTTCTCGCAAAATTATAACGCTCGCGAAAGCAAAGCGGTCTACAGTATCTTGCCTTTACAACGACGTTGAACCTCAACCAACCAACCAACCAACCAACCAACCAACACATTCTTTCATCCCATCGAGATGACTCCTTCCCTTTCACTAAATTTTGACACCACGCACACAACAAAATATGTTGTACACGTTTCTCACAAGGAACGAGTACTCCGAGGCACCCCCCCCCACCCTCAAACTATTTGAATAAGTCACTGAAGATCAGGCCTTCTGTATTCCGTATTTAGAAGAGAGCTTCTTCTTCTTCTTCTTCTTCTTCTTCTTCTTCTTCTTCTTCTTCTTCTTCT